CAGAATCAATTAATACAAGCGACTTTGTAAGGCTTTTTGCTTCAACTACCACCGACCACCACAAATGCCAAGTTCAAATGGATTGGCATGGAGCAGCTCCCAGCTAAACGATTTATTAATGCAAAACTGTCTATCGCTGTTGATGCGGTTGTGGTTTGATTCGCTTTTTTGTTTGTTTAATTGAAATGAATTCATTAAGCCTTTGATTTGCCTTGCAAATGGCTTGCTGGCATGGGATATATCATGGATCATGGAGCTCTGGGACTCCAACTCCAACTCTATCGACTGCTCCTTTCGACCAGCTTTACCTTTTGGCGTCTCTTTGGACCCGGCTAATGTCTAATGGCTGATGGGTGATGGGAGCACATCAAAGCGCGGCCAGCTCTGCAATAATTTAACTTGAATAAAATATATACGAAAATTAAGTGCAGCAACAGTTGCTCCAGTTCCAGTTCCAGTAACCATTTCCATTTCTTGGCAAGTCGCAACTGTTGCACGTTTTGCATGTCAGGAAAATTGCTTCATTTGTGTCCGCGCGAATGTTAACAAGGAACATGATAAAGCGAGCGGACATAATGAGAGTGAATGACTTGGAGGGCTTCACCCTTTTGGGCTTAGCCTGGTCAACGGGTTACCCAGCCAGCATGGCTAAAACAAAAAGTGAGCCAAAAAAGAACTGGCAGAGGTTTTGCACATTTTAATTATTTCTAGAGGCAGTTGAAAAAGTTGTAACTTGTTTTGTCAATGGAATGAAATGTAGGATACCCCTTGGTCCTTAATTATTATTAATTTTTATTAAAATTAACTTATTTTAATTATAAAATTAGAACATTTATATGATTAAGTAACTGCATTTAATGGGTACTAAATGTTCTCTCAGCTTAAGGTATTTGCCTGCTTGAAACGGACTCAAAAGGACTTCCAAAAACTGTGTCAAGTTTGATGGAAACTATTCCCGGCACTCAAAAAGTTTTCAATTTTCCTGCTGCAACAACAACAATGGAGTTACCAACTCGTTATGACTACGTGACCGCCCCACAAAACCAAACTTTTGGCTAAGAATTCTGGTCGTGCGTCAAATTAAAACTACTTCTCACTCAACCGGCACTCATTGGGCGGCTGATGGAATCGAGATGGGCTAATGGCACGTGCTTATCGGGCATATCGGCTGGCATTATGTCAACCATCGAGTATCCATCGATGCGACGATGAGATAAGTGTGCTATAAAAATTGAATTTGCACTTGAGATCCATCCGGAGCCGTGAGCATTGTATTCATGAGCTAAAATTTGCTGAAGCCAAAGCCTCGAGGGTAGGCTAAATGCTTGGCCAACAAACTCTCGAGTTATATAAAGATGCAGGGCAATTATGCAATTGTTTGTGCAGCAAATAAAATTCAGCCAAGTATTCGGGCGGAAACTTTCAGAGTGCACTGTGAAAATTATTATAATTATAATATAAAAAATATAAAAAAATTAAAACAGTAATATTTCAAAAGGCAATGGTTATTAGAAATAAATTATTAATATATTTAAATATTTGGAATGATTATTGATTTTTATGCATACATTAAATAAAGCTTTATTAATTTTAGTTTATGAATTAAAACTTTATTTACCTAAAATTAATTGGAAAATAATTTTTTAAAATTTTTGAAAGTTAGAAATAAAACATTACAAACCCTAGAAACAAACCCAAATATTAACAAAATTAATTCCAATATTCTTATATAATTTTTATATACAGAATTACTTTTCTCTCAGTGTTTTGCTGAGATAAAAAGACAGTGTATTCTGGCGGACTAAAAACTCCAAATCGATATGCAAATAAATGGATGAGGCGTACACACAAATCGCAAAAACGAGCAGAGCTGCCACGCCTCCCTTTGGCTCCTTGGGCCTGGCCTCCTCTGCTTTAGCCACAAAAAAGCACACAAAGCAAAAAACCAAATAAAAAAAAAAAAAATAAACTAAAAAATAAAGAAGAAGCCGTTTTGACCAAATTCGTCGACGCTGGGACCTGCATTCGGCCAGATTCCGAGATCCCAGATCCAACTTTCAGCTCGCTCTGGTGGTCTCCTCCGTGCCGCTGCAATTGCTATTGCTACCAATTGTGCATGCAATTTATTTTTAAAGAAATAATTGCTTTGCCGCATGTTGCCTGCTGCCGCTGAGCTGCCTGCGATTATGCAAATATTAGTAGACCGTCGCCCGTTTTTGCTGCTCTTTTCCGTCCTATATAATAATAAAGAACGAATGAACGGCAAGTGAAAGACGACGACTTGGCCGGTGTTTGCATATAATCTAATTTGAATTTGAATATGCCACACACACACACAGTTGGCAGTGGCAAGTCTGGGATTTCATTTGGCCTTCCGAACGACACTTTTCGCATAAATCAATTATTGGTCCAAACAATTTACATTTCCACACTTTGGTTTCTCGGGCGAGACTATTTATGACACAGCCCGAAAGTATGCCACAGCCTGCAATAAAGCTTAGTTCTAAATTCATAATTCATAAGCCAAAAAGAGGAGGAGTTGCCCCGAATTATAGTAAGACATGCCACACGAAGACAGCTCGAATTAAAGGGAATGTCTAAGCGAAATTTCTGAGCTTCATTTTTGGTTTCTCAGCAAGCAGCTTAATTTTCTTTAAGTTGAATTAATATCTCTGCACTTTTGCTGCAATTTATTATTAATTTTTAAGAAGGCAGACACCAAGCTAATTGTCAGAGCTTGATTTTTGGATCATCAGTTTGATTTTAAGGAGAAATTCCCTTTTCAAGTTATTCCTGGACATTTCCCTGGTTTTATTTCCACCAAATTCCCATTGAGTTCTCTTTTGAGCTTTCCCCGTAAATAACTGATTGATAGGAATCGCTGAATCTGAAATACAAACCCATTTCATTTGAGTCCAGTTCCACGAATCGCAGTCCGAGTCCAAGTACACTCCCTCCACAAATGGCAAGAGCAAACATTTTGTGGCCAGCCCGCAACTTTCAGCAAGAACTTAAAAACACGCCAATTCGTTTATTTTATTCGAGTTTGATGCTGTTTTTTTGGAGTTGGTTAATGAAAGTGCCAGTAAATGAAATTGGCATCACGTTATCCGAAGGTTTCTGTTCCTGCGAAGAGGTGCCTCTTGCCCAGTGCCTGTATGTGGGTCCCGCAAAAGTTTATCTTATAAAGCAACAACAAGCACTTAAGTGTTATATGCCACCGTATTACAAATGCCGGCCCTCAAAATCGGAATGGGAATGGGACTCAGTATGGGTTGGGTTGGGTTGTGATGGTTGGGGTCTGTATTTTTCGCTCCCAAAAGGCAACGCAGCATAAATAAAGAAAGCTGATAAGAAGGACGGGGCCAAGGACCAGAGAAATTGCTACAGAGAAAGAAAATATTTATAATATTGTTAAGAAATAAGGACCACAGAAGTTGCTACAGAGTAAGAAAGTATCTATTATACAGTTTAAGAATAAGGTTTTTTATATATTAAATATTAAATTAAAGTATAAGACTTTAGTTACGTACTTATTGAACCATTAATGGCATTTTTTAACTTATAGAAATAATTGTAATTTGTTAATTAAATTATTTCTATTGACTTTTCATCTAAATCCATAAGATAAAGTCATATATTTTGAAGAAACATTTGAAATACTATAAATTTCCCTTACTATTTCTCTCTCTGCACCCGCATGTGAGAAGACTTTGAGTTCAAGAGACCGAGTTCAAGTCCGAGCTCAAGACCAAGGTGGAATAAAATCCAAAAATTGAATGCTGGCCAGGTGACAGGCAGCGTTATTCCCCCCACAGGTGCAAATCGGGGCCCCATATTAGCAATTGCCTGGGGGCCCAAACATTTTGACATGGGTTGTGGTGGCCCCGGTGATGGTGTAGGTGAAAATGGATTCTTCGCGTGGCTTGGTTCTTCCCGCAAACTGGGTGTTGCACCCATGTCAGGTCCTCACCGACAACTGGCGTTACCTTTCCTGGGAAGGAGAAAGAAAGTCTCGCCAGTCGCAAATCATAACATATCATATCGCGTCATATCGCGGAATAATTTTTAATGAGTGCCGGCACCACCGCCAAATTGTATTTCCGTTTCGTTCATTATTTTTTTGGCAATTCCCTTATCGGTTGCACGTTTATGCATTCGTTTCATTCCCCATTCTGGGCTGGAACTTATCAAGGAAGCGTCATTGTCTGTCCGTCTCTGTCAGGGTGTGTTTACGATGTGTTTGCCACAAAAATAAAAGGAAATGTATAAACAAAATAAAGAGAAATATAAGAGGGAAGATTTTTTGGAGAAAAGAAGGGTTTTAAGACCGAATGGGGAATACTCTTGAGGTTTACCAGAGATTGTGAAACGTACATAAGGTATTCAGAGTATTCAGGTATTCAGAATATCACCTTAGGACATCTAGAACAATAGGTATAAACCCCGCCAATTAGCAGCTGCGACCATCATTGGCTTGCACACACTTTGGCCTGTTTGACCAGTTGCAAGTCGGCTGTGGCAAAGCCACTTCCGTCACATAATAAATTCATAACAAATCACACGGACGCAAACACACATACGAGCTTACTTGGGGCAGAACATGCGACATTATAATGCCACATTATGTTGCCAGTGCGTGAAAGAACCGTACATCCGGACACCGTGGCGGCAATAAATCAAAAATCCATACTCACACATGCAATATGCGGCCTAAGCCCCGTATCCAGCTTTATATCTTGCTCCTTCTCCCGCTTCCCCAGCTCCCCAGGGCCTGTGTGCTGCGTGTATCTGCTATTCGAAAAATTATTACACTTGACATGATGGAATATGCTGCTGAGTACCAGTTCCAGAGATGCCACCAGTCCATGTAGTTGCGACTGGACTCTGCGGACAATTCTTGTTATCCGTTTATATACTATGTTGCAGGTCTTATAAAGGTAAATAAAAATATTTGTAAAAATAATAGTAGTATTGGATTTTCCTATCAAAACCTGAAGCTTGTTCATTTCAAACCACACAACAGGTCACACACACTCATCCCCAAGCACTCCACTCTCCATCCCAGATTCCACATGCCTTGCCCAACTTGACCAGTTCTCTGGAGCAAAGCACCATAGCTCAACCTTGCCATAGCCATGAAGTTGACCGTGATAAAATCCAAGGGCATGGCCCTCATCACCCTGGGGTACCACATCCTGGCCGAGTACCATCTGGTGCAGGAGCAGCTGAAGAACATCTATGCTATTCCCAGCTTCAACAATGGACTCCGCTGGTTCGGCGTGCTCTTCGTGCATAGTGGCATCTATGCGGGCAGCGTGTTCCGTTTCTCCATTCTGCTGCCCGAAAACTTTCCGGATGACACCGCCCTGCCCACAGTGGTCTTCTCCATGCCCATCCTTCATCCGCATATCTGTCCGCAGTCCAAGGTTCTGGATCTTACGCCCGGTTTTAAGAAGTGGAATAGGGATCAGCATCACATTTGGCATCTGCTCCGTTACATTCAGGCCATCTTCGCCGATCCTGAGAGCATCTTAATTGAGGGTCCCCAGTTGGACGTGGTCCTCAACATGGAGGCCCTGGATATGCTAACCAATAACCGTCTGGAGTACTTGCAACTGGCCCAGGAACAGGCCATATCCTCACAGGGTCACATGTACGATCGACCGGAGACGGATGATCCACACTATATTGTCATGGAACCGTACCGTGCGGATCGTCACCTCAAGTTTATGAAAGAGCTGGATAGTGCTAGCTGGTGGGAGGCCACCCGCATAGACAGCTCCATGCCGGCCGAGTATCTGGGCCAAATTGAAGACACCACCAGGGAGCTGGACGAGGAGGAAGGCAGTCAGCGGGTGAAGTCCCTAAACGGGGCAAAGTAGGAGGCTTCGCTTAAGGCGGCTGTGGAAACTTGGATGAGGAACGGAAACAGGATATCAATACTATACTCAAGCAGTTTTAATAAATTTGGACGTACTACTAATAAACTTGTACAACTAATAAACATTTTAAAAATAAATATAAATATGTAAAACAATTAACATAAATAAAAATGTATCTATACCTAAATAACATCTTAACTTTAACAGCTTAGAATATATATTTAGAATTATTAATAATTTACTATGAGAACTATAACGAATCCCAATTGTAAATTCTCAGTCTATGTATTATTTATTTGCATTTTCAACAACATTTTCCATCGATTTCACTGCATTTCCCTTTCCAAGTTTTACTAAACCATACATAAACCAAACAATAAACACATGCTAACGTTTTTCGTTGTCGGACTTAAAGCATTGTTCACATTTCAATTAGTTTTATTTAATTATTTGAATTTAAAATCGCTATCGGGAACAATATAAACTCATTTAATTAAGTGGCCAATTACTGTATATATTTTCTAAAACGTTGTTGACCACAAAAGAGAAACATTACTTTTTTTTGGTACTTCAATTTCTCACAATATTTTTTTGAGTGCGTAAATATATGTTCGCATCCCCATCTCGGTTTCGCCACATTAGTGATGTTAATAATGTCATCTTTCAGGTGCAATAATCAAAATAATAATAATTATGGAACGCGGTCCGTTGGCAAAGTGAAATGCATTCCCGTTCTCCCGTTGAGTACACTCTGGCCTGGGCCTTCCTTTTTGGCGAACGCATTTTAAGGCAGCCGCTTGCATGCGATGCAGGCCATTACGTACAGTTTGGATCATAAAAATAGGATTGAAATTATAAGGTAAAATATTTTATACAAATTAAAATATATTTTAAAGTTTATTTATCCCTAATATATAAGAAAATGTTTTGAAAATCTTTCTGTGGCTCTCGTTTCATTTGATTTTCTTAAATATACTCCATATATTCCTCCGTTTTATTAGCAAAATAAATTAAGTATTAATGTCTTTATATTAATTTCCTCTACTGTTAATAAACGCATCGAAAGCCTGCCTCGTTGGCAAGGGAGCAGGAGAAGTCGTCGTCAGTTGGCGCAAATATACAAAAGTGACAATCTGATTTATCACTGCACTTTGCACAGAGACCGGAGTCCATGCCGCCATGCGAGCAGGTTTCTCACTCCTTTGAATCCTCTGGCCTTTTCTCCTCCCCACCTTTCGCTGTTGGCCCCCGAAATTGCTCATGAAATTATGGCCGATAGTTGGCTGCCATATTTTAGGCCATTTTCGCTAGCGGGCCTGCTGCTAAGTGGGCGAACTCTATTGCAGTCACACACACCGCATTAGAGCTAATTGCCTGGGAAACAGATCTTCTCTATATATCCGGATCACACAAGGCCTTGTAGAGATGCTTTTGGCCACCAGCGATGGTTTTTCAGCCAGCCGGAAAATGTGTGGGACAAAAGGGAGCCTAATTTTGGGTTAAATTTAAATAAGGAAATTGTTTTTGAAAATGTTTGATAATCTGTTTTTGAAATTCTCGATGTTTTATAATATTCGAACTTTATTTACCAATTTCATTACCCTTTGAGTCTTGTTTAGTATTCTTCATTAAATTGTCATACAAAGAGACTCCTTACAATCCATAAAATTCTAAATACAAATTAAGTCACGTCCAGTTCTCAGCTCCTCAGAGAACTTGCTCCATACGCACTTGGTGTGCGTTTATTGAGTGGGCGTTGCGCCAAAAAAAGAAAGAAAAAACAAAAAATTAAGACATATTCGTAAGCTCAACACAGCAGATACAACAACGTTAACATTTACAATTAAGTTGTAATAAATTTAAGCAGCGGCGCGTGGGCTGAAGCAGCCGGGGCCAATGTTAATGGTTTCAGCTTCAATTAAACGGCCATAAAGAACTGTTGCCAGACGGGTGACAAAATATAAGCCTCCATTGTATTGAACTCCGTTTTGTTGGGCTTTGTTTTCTCGGAGTCTCTCCAGTCTCTCCAGTCCCCCAAGTGAAACTGGGTTCTGGATTGGGATCCCCCCCGCGGTTGCAGTTATCAGCGGTCATCAAAACAATTGCCACCATCGTGGCGGATAGCGGATGCGACAATGATCGGGAATGGAATGGAGATGGGGAGATTCCAAGGGGTGACCAGGGTGGGAAATCGACGATGGTGACGATGGCGGTGGTGGTGGTGGTGGTGGCTTCGTTAGCTTCGCATTCGTTTGTCTGACAAGTTGGCGGCGGGCTAACTAAACTAAAACGCCAAAGTCGAAAAAAAAGCGTATTCAATTCAAGTTCAATTGCGCCAACAGGTAAACAAGGACTGGAAAGACGGCAAGACGTCATCAGGCAGTGGGATCATGATTATTAAATATTTAATAAGATATGTAAGGAGTTTCTAAAATATTGCTATTTTAATTTATAATCGTATACCTTTTTCTACAGCTTAAATCTGTGCCCAATGATTTTTACTATAATATTCCCTATTTAAATTTCTTTAAAATATTTTATTTCACCCACTGTGCAACGTCTGTGGCTTGGACCTGTGGGCAGACTGGATTGAACTCCGGATCTCTGGGATCCGCGGCTGCTTTTCGATTTCCTTGGAAAACCGCTAGAGACCGCCGACCCGATCTGCTCTGCTTAGCATTCCCAGCTCTCCCCTGCAGCCAACTTGCGCAGCTACCCCCTATCAGCTCCCTGAAACCCTCCTTCAACTGTCTGAGGCTGAGAGGCAAAGACACAGATTGGTATTTATATGCAAGTTCATGGCTCGGCCGAAGCGCGCACACACATCATCATCGATTATAATCGAAATGGGATTGTAAATCAAATCGCATTGAATGGTAGTGACTTTAAAATGGGCTTCATTATCGCCAGTGCCGCGATGCCGATGCCGGTGCCTGTGTCGGGTGCCCGGTGCCTGCCTGGTGCCGGTGTGTGCTTTTGCTCGGATGTAGCCACATCCTGGCTGCGGCGGAATCGAACTCGAACTCGGACTCAGATTCGGATTCGGGTTGGGAGCTTGGAGCCGGGGGTTTGTCGCTGTTGCTATTGTCGGCGTTTCGCGCTCGGTGGCTGAAGTGACATTCAATGCCATAATTTATGAGTTTATCTTTTTCGCGCCGCCAAATCGTACGCTAAATGCTGTCTGCTCCGGCACGGTCTCGGGTCTCGGCTCTCGGGTCTCTTGGTCTCAGTTTCGATACGAGCAGCATATTGCCAGCTATAGCTGGGCTACCCGGGATGGGGGCATATGCAAACCAACGGCAAACAAACGAAACGTGCGCATATTTTATGGGACTGCGGATTGTAGAGCTCCAAAGTTCCAACTCGGAGCCGATGCCGCCGCTGTCGTTGTCGTTGTCGATCGTTTAATGTCGAGCAATTAAAATTGGAGTTTTTTTTTTCGAGTGGCAGCGGCACATATAGTAGACCCTTGGTATTTTTCGGTACGAGTATGTGCAGCAGCTTATGAGTTATGGCCCTCGTTGTCGGCGCTGTTTCGGCCCTGCATAGCTTTTTGTGCTGTCAATTTGGCCAATGCCATTAGATACGAGCCGGCAGACCGTTGAATACTTTGTTTGGTGGTTGTAGTGAGATATACAACGAGATGAGATACAACCAGAGAGATTTTTCATGAAATTTTTCTTAATTTAAAATATCTTAGTACCTAATTAGTTGCTTAATTTTACCCAAAACATCTTTCAGCTTAAACTTTTCAACATATTTGCAAAGCCTTAATTCACATACCACACTTCCTGAAACATTCCTAAAGCTGTTAAAAGTGCACTCCAAAGTGGAATTTCTAAAGCCAACAACATTTGTAGCGGCAACAAGAGGAGCAACATGAGAAGCAACCTGGCAGCCATGGCAACAGCAACGGCAACTGGCCAACATAATGCCCACTTCTTTTCAATTTCAACGCAAACCCGGCAAAAGAGAGGTATGTAATCATGGCTTCTAATTCTAAACCGTTTTTCATGGCCGAAATGCGAACTGGTTGGCCAAGTTTAACTAATACATCATTATGCTGGCATTTTCCTGTTACTGCCGATGCTATGTTGCTGGTGTTGCCTGTTGCTTCGTAATAATCAATTACGCGTCAGGCACGATCTTGGCTAAAAGAGCGCGCGATCTTCGCATGCCAAGCCGCTCAATCATTATCATCATCATCATCATCATTATCGTCATCATTATTACCACAGCGGACTGATGACGATCGTGAAGCCATAAGCTTCTCCAACAACTTGAGCTATTTTCCCCGCTTTTCGGCTTGCAACTCATGCGCCAATAATAAATTACAAAACAAAACTCTAAGAACAGGTTCAATTACATTTAACAAGAGCGACGGCCAAACAGCTGATTTGTGGTTTACGAGGGATCGCCAGGGAGTAGAATGCACTGATAGAAAATACTAATACAAAGGGGATTTTTTTTATACATATTTATTAAGGGTTATTACTAAAGGTTAAGCACCAGCGCAGCAGGCTGTAAATATTTAATTGTTTAAGTCCTGTCCAAGTTTCTTTTTAGTATTATTTATTGATGATGTATACTAGCGAAATTCGCACTTGAGAATTTTAAGAGCACTCTACAAAATAGCTTTGATAATGTTTAATGTAGAAAGGCTACAATTTCAGAAAATGTAAACCAAAATTTGGCTTCTTAAAAGGTAGAGACTAAATAAATAAATTTATAAGTTATTATAGATTACTTAATAATTCAAAAATATTTCAAAATTCCTAAGAATGTACCTCAACTTTTCTTTCTGTGTATGCGATTGCATCGGCCAATGGCAAATTAAATAGATTTACGCTGGTAAAGTGTTGCTGATTGGGATAATCAACGCGCTTGCAGAGATGCTGATGCTGCTGCTGCTGTTGCTGATGTTGCCGTTGTTGTTGTTGTTGCAGCAGCTTGATGCTGCTGCTGTCAAGTCATTATTACCGACTCTTGTTATTGCGCCTTGTGTTTATGTTGCTATTGCTGTTGCGGCAACTAGCTCAGAACAACTTTGCCTGGGACCCGACTGTTGGCAACGTTGTTAATCCCAATTTTGTATTAAAATTTGCATGGTCGTTGACGTCCAGCCGCAGCAGCAGCAACAGCATCAAGACACACA